CTATAGCGTCAGGTCTTACTGTCAATTTTACCAAATCGGTGATTATGCCTGTTAGTGTTCCTGATTCCCTAAGTGAATCTCTCCGTAGTTCTTTTCCATTTCGTTGGGTCACAGATTGGATTTCCTATTTGGGTATTAATCTCACTCCCAGATACTCGGATATGTTTGCTGCTAATTATCCACCGTGTGTATCACGTCTCTCTACTCTATTGAAGATTTGGCATGGTTACCCCATTTCCTTTCTGGGTAGAGTCACAGCAGTTAAAATGAATATTTTGCCTAAACTACTTTATCTTTTTAGAGCACTTCCAGTCCCGGTCTCGAAAACGTTTTTGGATCACTTTCAGCGGACTATTAATAACTTTATCTGGGGTAATAAACGTCCATGTTTTACTTTGTCTGTTTTGTACCGCTCACAACGGACGGGGGGTCTCGGTCTTCCCAATTTGTGGCTACATTATCTCTCAGCTCGTTTTGCGCAACTATCACAATGGGCTACTATTAACTCTCAGATCCCCTGATCAAGTTTGAATCTCGGTCTAAATGCCCCTTTTACTTACTGGTCCAAAATCTCCCCTCGATCGCTTACGTTTCATAACTCCATAGTGACCCATTCACTGACACTTTGGTCCAAATACAAATTTAAATCTGGTCTCTTCTATTCCTCCAAGTGTTTCATTTTTTGGTGATCCTACTTTTGTTGCAGCTTTTTCTTCCCCTCAAATGTTTCGTTGGTGGTATGATCGATCCTTTATTAGATTATCTGATTTTCAAAGAGGAGGATCTTATCTTACTTTTGATATGCTGTGCGTGTTTTTTGATGTTCCTCTTCGTGAGTACCTTCGTTACCGACAGATTAGACACTTTTTTACTTCACATTTTGGCCTTATACCCTCTTCTCTGATTTCATTTTTTGAACGTATCAGCCGTGACTCTCCTAGGGGTAGGGGTCTTATTTCTGATCTTTATCACCAATCTTTGACTTGTCTTTCTCATACACTCCCTTTATAGAGACAAAAATGAGAGGAGGATAGTGGTATCACTTTTTCAGATGAGGATTGGGATTCCATGGTGGATAACATATGTAAGTGTTCTAGATCTCTTTCTGTCCGTGAGACGGCCCTCAAGGTTCTAACCAGATGGTATTATACCCCATCTAGACTACATGTATTGTTCCCACAAAAATGTCCCCTTTATGTTTCCGGGGCTGTGGCCTCACAGGTACTTTGGCTCATATATTTTGGGATTGCCCAACCATATCTTGGATTTGGTGCAAGATATCTGAGGTGGCTACCTCATTGGTGGGTATCCCGGTACGATTGTCTATACAGACTTGTTTATTGGGGGCTCATATCCCGGGGGTCTCTGATGCCATTATGAGATTGATACATGCTATTTGTATTGCCACTTTATGGGCTATTGCCTTACATTGGAAATCCAATGCTGTACCATTGGCCTCTGTTTTACACAGAGTTGATGCTGTAATGCTTATGGGACGTATTCATTATAGCTTACTGGATAAGATGCACTTATTTGATAAAAAATGGGAATCATGGAGGGATTATAGACATTTACTGCATGATTAACAACATTCCAAGTGAAGGTTGACTGGCATATACTGTTGACAGATGTATCATTCAACCTACTTTATCATCTATGTATTTCATGTACTTGCAATCTTCTCTTTTCTATTTCCTCTTTTTATCAATATTAAACCTCATTTGCCACATAGTTGCCCAATTACACAGAGCATTGAGGTCGGCTTGTAAATTGGAGACATCCTGTAAGGACGTTATTCCACGGCACAGCTTGGTGTCATCTGCAAAGACTGAAATGGGATTTATAATCTCAGACCCGATATTGTTTATAAATATATATATATAAAGTAAGGGTCCCAACGCTGAACCTTGGGGTACACCACTGATAACTCTGAACCCTGGGGTACACCACTGACACCCCTAGACCATTCAGAGTATGAATCATTAACCACTACTCTAGCCACGATCATCTTTCAGACAGTTTCCTATCACATTTACATTTTTATCACAGATTTTTCCAGCCCGTAGACTTTACCTTACACATTAGTCGTGTGTGGGGAACTGTGTCAAATGCCTTTGCAAAAGTGTACCACATCCACCTCCACCCCTCTGTCCAAGTATACCACATCCACCGCCACCCCTCTGTCCAAGTATACCACATCCACCTCCACCCCTCTGTCCAAGTATACCACATCCACCGCCACCCCTCTGTCCAAGTATACCACATCCACCGCCACCCCCCTCTGTCCAAGTATACCACATCCACCGCCACCCCTCTGTCCAAGTATACCACATCCACCGCCACCCCTCTGTCCAAATATACCACATCCACCGCCACCCCTCTGTCCAAGTATACCATGTCCACCGCCACCCCTCTGTCCAAGTATACCATGTCCACCGCCACCCCTCTGTCCAAGTATACCATGTCCACTGCCACCCCTCTGTTCTAGTATACCACATCCACCACTACCCCTCTGTCCAAGTATACCACGTCCACCACCACCCCTCTGTTCTAGTATACCACGTCCACCGCCACCACTCTCTCCAAGTATACCACGTCCACCGCCACCCCTCTGTCCAAGGTTTTGCTCACCTCTTCATAAAAAGAAATCAGATTTGTTTGACAACTTCTGTCTTTCATGAATCCATGCTGTCTGTCGCTTAACATATTTTTTTCCATGAAGAACTCATCTATGTGGTCTTTTATTAAACTCTCCAATATCTTCCCAACTATAGAAGTTACACTAACAGGTCTATAATTACTTGGGAAAGATTTTGACCCCTTTTTAAATATTGGCCCCACATTGGCCTTACGCCTGTCCAGTGGTACTATGCCAGTCATTAAAGAGTCCCTAAAAATGAGAAACAATGGCTTTGAAATGACAGAGCTCAATTCTTTAAGGCCCCGTGGGTGTATGCCATCCGGTCCAGGTGCTTTATTCACCTTTATACTGTCTAAATATTTTTGGATCATATCAATTGTGAGCCAATGTGGATCATCTGGAGCTGTGTCAGTACCACCCCCCATTATGGACAAGAGCCCCCCCCCCCATGCTCCTTTGTATACACAGAGCTGAAGAAGGGATTTCATACATTGGCCTTCTCTTTGTCCCCAGTCACCCACTCTAGATGATTCTGTAAAGGGCCTACATGCTCCCTCTATTTAGAGCCTACATGCTTGGACTGGACCATTTTACTATTAACATATTTGAAGAATTTTTGGGGTTGGTCCTGCTATCTTTTGCAATCTGCCCTTCGTTTTCAGTTGTTTTTGCGGAATTGATTTCCTTTTTGCATATTCTGTTACATTCTTTGTAATATTTAAACACTGATAGCACTCCTTCATTCTTATATTTTATAAAAGCTCTTTTCTTATTATTTATGACTTTAACTTTGGCTGTAAGCCACATAGGTTTGATTTTTAGCCTTTTAAACTTGTTGCCCATGAGAATATATTTTGCAGGGAACATTTTCACCCAGTGGTTTTTTGGAAAGGGTCAGGGACTTTTTTGAACGCAAAAAGTTGCATTTTTGGTTCTATAGACTTCAATGGAAACGCTGCTGAAAAGCATGCAGTGTGTTTTTGCTGCATTTTTTATGTGTTTTGTGTTTTAAATCTGGCTACCAACAAGAAAAATGACAAAAAGCAAAAAGTTTCAGAAACACAAAAAAAAACACAGGTGCAAAAACGCAATGCAGAAACGGCTCAAACGCAAACTGCATAGGTGTGAACCGAGCCTTATTTGGACTGTGGTCCCTTAGTGGCAATAGATGGTTATTGTACCTTTTTATTATTTTATTTGTTCTAAATTATTATCATTATTATTGTACCTGCAGGAGGGGTTTGTATTCGGGAAACTTCAGGCTCCGTTCACACCAATGCGTTTTTGTGCTTTTTGCAGGACCGCACTACAGTCCATTGAACATGGATTCCTATAGGACACGTTCACATCTACGCTTTTTTGAGCTGTCGAATTTTGGAAAGGGTCAGGGATTTTTTTAAAAGCAAAAAGCAGCGTTTTTGCTACAATAGAGTTCAATGGGGAATTTGCTGAAATGCATGGTAGTGCGCTTTTGCTGTGTTTTGCATTTTTATCCTGCTCAGTAACACAAAAAAAATCCACTTTAAAAAAAGAGCAAAACAAAACCCAAAAGTGGTAAAAACACCTTAAAACAGCATTAAAAAAATGTGTAGAAAAATGCAAAAAGAACTGCGAAAAGCACTGCAAAATGGACAGAAATCAAAGTGCATAGGTGAGAACAGAGCCTCAGAGTGCTCATGTGGGTTGGGAGGAGTTTGATGGTGTCAGGAGAAACTGTTTCAGCTGCCGACTTACTGGGAGATGTGTCTCTGGGGCAGGGGCGACTGACAACTCATGGGGCCCCCGGGCAATAGGGGATCATGGGGCCCCTGTGTCCTCACCAACACCCAAAAAAGCCTATGAAAAAGGTACCAGGGGCATCTCATGGGGCCCCCTACTGACCCCAGGCCCTCAGGCAGTGTTCGAATGGTCAGTCCGCCCCTGCTCTGGGGGAGACCCAGGAGTTCCTTGGACTCCTATACCCCCTTCTACAAGTTGTTGGTGAGGCACTCGGATTGATGTTTGCTTTGCAGGGAATGTTCACTTAGCTTTGTCATCTTGGTGAAAATTCACTTCGCAAAGAATACCCAATCACATGCAAGAATAAAAAATATTTGCTTGCACGTGATTGGATGATGGAAATCAGTAGCACTTCACCCAAACCTGAGCATAAATGGATCAAATTTTGTCCGGTTCAGCAGGGACCAGCCAAGAGTCGATCCATCTATGGGCAGGCTGACTGTACGGAGGTTGATTTTCTTTGATCGACTTCAGTACAACCAGCCTGTAAGATTTCTTTGCAATGCGACTATAGCCACTAGCAGTGATCATTGTGTTCTGCCGTCCAGGCATGGGGAGAGATTCCTCATCAACACTGACTGTGTTGATGGGGCCAGGGGCGGACTGACCATTTGGAAACTTGGGCACTGCCCGAGGGCCCGGGGTCAGTAGGGGGCCCCATGAGATGCCCCTGGTACCTTTTTTCATAGGCTTTTTTGAGTTTGGGCAAGGACACAGGGGCTCCATGATCCCCTATTGCCCGGGGGCCCCATGAGTTGTCAGTTCGCCCCTGGATGGGGGGAATCAAGCAATATTCTTTCCTTACACCTTCGATGGAAGGAATGAGAATTGTATAATCTTTGGCCTGCCTAAGGGTCGGTTCGCATCTATGCAGGTTGCGTTTGAGACGTTTTTTCACTTGCACTTTTGCCACGTTTTTTATGCGTTTTTTTTTTTTTTTTTTTAAAAAAAAGAAAAACGCATAAAATGCATAACACATCAAAAATGCATAAAAAACGTGGCAAAACGCAGCAAAAATACAATACATGCTTTTCTGCAGCATTTTAATTTAAGTCTATAGTACCAAAAACGCAACTTTTTGTGTTCAAAAAAGTCCCTGACCCTTTCCAGAAAAACGCACAGGGTGAAAACGCACAGCTGTGAACATGACATCATGTTAAATGGACTGTACTGCGTTTCTGCGAAACACAAAACGCTGCAGAAAAAACGCATAGGTGTGACCTAGGGTCAAGGGAATATCCCATTGCAAAGTAAACCGTCTATTTGCCTTCAGTAAATCAATGCCGTAATCGTGTTCTATTTGTGCTGAAGAAAAGCCAACTTAGTTCCGCTATTGAAAGAAAATCAATGTTTCCTATTTTATTATGTTTGCTTTCTTAGATATGTCTGGGATGGTGATCCCTCCCCCCCTTTCTGAACTTTGCAATATATTCAGAAAACCTTTTTCTTCTACAATGAATAATTGTGGAAAGACAGGCACAGCACGTTCCATAAATCACAGCTACCATCACCTCAGTATACTCATGTAAGGTAAAAAGAAAAATGGACACAACAAGGATATATACGATTTTTATTATAAATAAATTTCAACAAGATACCAAAAAATTCAATAAAAACAATCCAGTATCCCATCAAAAATATAATTAGAAATATGTAAATACCCCCCACCCCGCTACAAAGCCAATTAAAAAAATTATTCAGCACATTATATTATCCTTCAAAACTATACAATACGTATATACATATATTTTTATATTGCTGAAGTCTGCACCAAATTTGTAATTATTTTAAATAGGCATGTGATCAAATCTTAAATAAATACAATATACTTTATAATTTAAAGAAATATATGGATATGTTTATATATATATATATATATATATATATATATATACATACATATATATAAAATTAATCTCTAAAAAAGAAAAGCAGAAAAAAAGAGCCAGATCCCCTAATGTAACTCCGCCTAAATCTTTTTCTCAGTTTTGGATACAGAGGGGAAGGATTAGAACCTGTGTTGGATTGTATCGACGTCTGTGTCCCCTCTTGAGAGTTTAATCTTTACTTCAAGTCTTGGTGACCACGGCCAAATTCTATACTGCAGTATGCTACCACTGAAAGTGCAAGGGTGCTATACAGTCAATATCAAGAGTACTATACACAGTCAAAGTGCCTAATTCCTGAAAAATGTACACGTGAAAATGTACACTATTGAGAAAACTAAATGAGAACAACAATGAAAGTATATAAACACAAATAAAAAACACATGACAGTAAAGGACCCAATGAATGTAGCCACAATCAATGTAGAGCACTATGAAAAAAAATGTTTGTCTTGAATGTCTCTCCTTTTGTGAGATCCCAGACATTTTTGGCATTAAAGGACTGGCAGTGGTTCACTCCCTTGCCACCATTGATTTGGCCTTTTACATTCAGGAATACAAGCAGCAGTCTACACCAGCCTTTCTTAAACCATGGTACCGTCGGTTCCCTTCAGAGGTTGGTAGGAGTTTGTTGACTTTATCACCAATATAAAGGTTATTCTTCTTCTGTCTAAACTGTGAGGGCCAAAGACTCACTGAGCAAGCATGTAAGGTGTCCTCCTTTGCTGCCCAACAATGTAAGGGAGGTGCTTCTCCATTGTCCATCAATGTAAAAAATTTAAGCGGGAGGGGGCCCTTTCCACTGAACACAAAAAAAGAACAGTCTTCCTCCAGCTGTCTACTAGTGTTAATGGTCCCTTATCCCACCAACCAAAAATGTTAGAAGTCCTTCTCCACTGACCGTCAATGCAAAGGGGGTCTTCGTTGACCACCATTGTAAGGATGTCTTCTCCACTAACCACTCATTTAAGAAGGCGCTTCTTCAATGACCACAAATGTAAGGGGAAGGGGCCTTCTCCACTGATCACAAATGTAAAGGGCATTCTTCCTCCAAATGTCCACTGGTGTAAATGGTCCCTTGTCTCAGTGTCTAAAATGTTAGAGGGCCACCAATGTGAAGAAGGTCTTCTCTGCTGACCACCAATGCAAAAGATTCTGACCACCAATACAAGGGGGTCTTCTCTACTGACCCCTACTTCAGGAGGGTACTTCTTCACTGTCCCTTAGTGCACAGGGGATTTCTCTTCTGGCTACCAATGTAAGGCAGGGGGTGCTTCTCCACTGGTCAAAAAAGTGAAGGACATTCTACCTCCAACTGCCCACCAATGCAAATGGCCCCTTGTCCCACTCACCAAAAATGTTAGAGACCCTTCTCCACTGATTACTAAAGCAAGGGAGGGGTGGGGGGGATGTATTCTCCATTGATCCCTAATTTAGGAGGGCACTTCTGTATGGGGAATTTCTCTACTGACTAGCAATGTAATGGAGGTCCTTCTCCACTGATTCCCAATGTATGGAGAACCATCTTCACTAAGCACCAAAGGAAGGAGAACCTTCTCCATCAACCACCAATGTAAAGAGAAGCTTCTCCACTAACCACCAATGTAAGGAGAACGTTCTCCACAAACCACCAGTGAAATGAGACTCTTCTCCACTAACCACCAATGTAAGGGGACATTACAAGTTTCATTGTCGGCTTTTCCTGCCTGATAATTCTTTTTAATTTTGTACTTCATGGTTTTTATTATAAAACTATAACTTGCTGGCCATGCTGAAGTCCTATGAGCTGTAGATATAATCAACTTTAGGAGAGATTCCCTGAGATCTGAACATTATTTCTAGGGTTTCTTTTGGGGTGAAATGGTAGAGAAAGGCTGGTATACACTTTCACACATTACAGATCTATAAATATAGCAGCATATTAGATGAGAAAAGATGGGGCACAAATTGACCACATTTTACACATTATTACTAGAATATGTAAATGGACATTACAATAAATAAACAAATATGAAATAAATAAATCTGTATACTCAAAAGTAGATGTAAGAACGATTCCATTTAAATGAAGAAGACAAAACAAAAAAAAGAGCTATTAATTTTTTGAGCCACACCTTGTCCTTTGTTCTGAGTCATGGTGACCTCTGTCACACCCAAATGGTATTTAATTTATGTCTATGATGGTTCTTTATCTAGGTCTAGGCAGGGGCGGACTGACCATTTGGAAACTCGGGCACTGCCCGAGGCCACGGGGTCAGTAGGGGGGGCCATGAGATGCCCCTGGTACCTTTTTCATAGGCTTTTTTGAGTTTGGGCAAGGACACAGGGGCCCCATGATCCCCTATTGCCCGTGGGGCCCCATGAGATGTCAGTCTACCCCTGGGTCTAGGTACATCTTGTAGTAGTCAAATGTTACTAATTTCTACCAGATATGTTTAAACAATCAAAAATTAAAGCCCACAATGGTCAGCGGTGCTTCTCAACTGTATTTTAGCTCCTTTCCTGGATAATATCACCCTGAGCAATGCCTGTTGGCTTCTCCTTTGTTCTGAGTCATGGTGACTTCTGATACACCCCAGGAGTATTTAAGAAGTAAGTGCCTAGGTCACTTGAAGCCACAGTGATAGTAAAAGACTGGGTACACACAGGGAGAAAATCAGCCAAAAACAGTTGGTTTGGAAGACCAATGTATGTATTGCTCCCTGTCTGACAGAAGCCAGTCTCACAACCGGCTTCTGTTGAACGAGCATGCTAGAAAAGCAGTGTGCACCCAGGTTAAGAGGGGAACGGGGGCAGAAGTAGCTCTCAAGTTCATGGGTCACAACTGACAGCAAACTCTCAGAGTAAAGGTGACAAGAACCCAGAGAACTCAGCAAGGCCAGGCTGGGCTTAAGTAAAGGGCAGTAGGTTGTTCCCACAGATAAGGGTGTGGGACACAGATATTTCTTGGGAAGAAAACCTAAGTGGACTGACTGCCAGTTTTGCCTATTTCCAGGGAAGAAAACCTAAGTGGACTGACTGCCAGTTTTGCCTATTTCCAGGGAAGAAAACCTAAGTGGACTGACTGCCAGTTTTGCCTATTTCCAGGGAAGAAAACCTAAGTGGACTGACTGCCAGTTTTGCCTATTTCCAGGGAAGAAAACCTAAGTGGACTGACTGCCAGTTTTGCCTATTTCCAGAGGGGTGCTTGTCCCTGACAACATCCACTCTGAACCGGAAACAAACCATTCATGTTGTTGAATTCTGCCATTCAGATTTGATATTTAAGATTAAATGGACCTTCCAGTGAGCTACTGGGCAGCACAGTGGCTAAATGGTTAGCACTTCCGCCTGCCAGTACTAGGGTCATTAGTTTGAATCCCAACCATGGCACCACCTACCTGGAGTTTGCATGTTCTCCCTGCGCCTGTATGGGTTTCCTCCCACATTCCAAAGAAATGCTGGTAGGTGAATTGGATCCTTTCTAAATTGGTCCTAGTATGTGTATGTATGGATGTGAGTTAGGGACATCAGATTGTACGCCCCTTGAGGATTAGGGACCTTAGATTGTACACCCCTTGAGGGTTAGGGACTGATGTGAATGTATAATATATATGTAAAGTTCTGTGTAAATTGATGGCCCTATACAAGTACCTGAAGTAAATAAAATTAAGGTTAAAATGACCTTCCAGTGAGCTACCACCATCCATGGGTTATGAATGTGTTTGAAGATATCCTAGTTTCATTTTTTCCAAATAATTTTATATGCCTTTAAAGCTGAACTATGAGCACAAAAAAGTCACTAAAAGTGGAAGTTCAGCCAAAATCTAACACTAAACCTACTCCCTGCCCCAATCCAAGCCTAATCTATCTAAAGAAAAGATTCTTATACTTCCCTATTCTGAAGCCGCTCCGTTCCGATCCCCATCGGTGGCTTCTGTATAGAAAGGGGAAGCCAACGATAGCTGGGAAATTATTATGAGATGATGTCATCCATAGACTAAGGCTGGCCATACATTATACAATTATCTGGAGATTTTTGGTTTAGATTTACCAAAAACCATATAATAGGAGGACAAACCTAAACAACACTTTCAGTTGTATCCAATTAGGATACACTACAGTTGAAGGTAAATCTAAAGGAAATTGGGCAGAAAATTGGAAGATAATTGTATAATGCATGGCCAGCCTTACTATGGGGCATCAGTTGTCAGCTGCTTCAGAATAGATGAGTATAGTGATCTTTTCTTTACAGGGTTAGATAGATTGGGTTTTAGAATGGATTTGGGAGTAGGGTGAGTGTTAGATTTTGGTTTTAGGTTTTGGCTGAACTTCCACTTTCACATCTGCACCAGATTAGGCACTCTCCAGCTTTATTAAATCAACACAATTGCTTGCCTGCTCTCAGTTTTCTCTGCCAGAATGACGGACTCCCGTGCATGGGTGCAGGATTATGTCATTCCCCTGCAAGTGAAAAATCTGGCACCTGGAAGTAGTGGGGGGATGACAGTGGCCGGCGGGGGGGGGGGTATCTACCAGGATGAGTATTTTGGGGGGGGTCATTTCTGCTTTAAATGATTATAAAATTCTTACTTCTGTCTTGCTGTTTGATAAATGATATATTATGTCCTAAAACTCAAGTGTGACTTGATGAAAATACTACAAGAAGCAGCACAGGGTACATTTCAATAGGTTAACCGTTTTACTGCCGCGAAGATATACTGCTGCAGGGCAGCAGGGTGTGCAAAATCACATATATATATATGTGATTTCGCATTTCCGGGTAGGGAGCGCGCATGAGCCGTGCACGCGCCTTACCCGCGCCGCTATTCGTGGCTCAACTGTCAATCACTGGGTCCCGGATGGTGATTACTTGCCGGCACGCGGGTGATTGCCGAGTATGGGGGCGGACTGACAACTCATGGGGTCCCCGGCAATAGAGGATCATGGGACCCCTGTGTCCTTGCCCAAACTCAAAAAAGCCTATGAAAAAAGTACCAGGGGCATCTCATGGGGCCCCCTACTGACCCCGGGCCCTCAGGCAGTGCCCAAGTAACCAAATGTTCAGTCCACCCCTGGCCAAGTAATACCGATGGAGAAGAGACCTTTATGTAAACTATACAGTTCTCTCCCCTGTCATCTTCAGCACACTGCTTTGTATGGCTCTGCATAGTAGATCTATGCAAAGCAGTGTGCTTACAGTGAAGCACAAACACACAGCCTCATAGTAAAACACACACAGCACATAGTTAACCCTTTGATTGCACCTCATGTTATCCCTTCCTGCCCAGTGCCATTAGTACAGTGTCAGTGCTTTTTATTAGCACTGATCACCATATTGGTGTCACTGGGGATATCAGTGACACCAAGACAGTTCCTCCCAGTGTCAGAATGCCCGACGCAGACCCGCTATAAGACGCTGATTGCCATTACTTGTAAAAAATTCCAGTATATATTCCACCATTTGTAAATGCTATCACTTTCACGTAAACCAATTAATTTACACGTATTGGGATTTTTTTTAGCAAAGACATGTCGCAGAATACATTGCCCTAAATTTATGATGAAATTTGATTTTTAAAAAAAAAAATTTCGGACATGTTTAGTAGCAAAAAGTAAAAAAAATATATATATTTTTTTTTTTTCAAAATTGGTGGTCCTTTTTTGTTTATAGCACAAAAATAAAAACCGCACAGGCGATCAAATACCACCGAAAGAAATCTCTATTTGTGGGGAAAAAAGATGTAAATTTAATTTGGGTGCAGCGTTGCATGACCGCGCGATTGTCAGTTAAAGTAACGCAGTGCCGTATAGCAAAAAATGGCCTGGTCAGGAAGGGGGGGAATCCTCTGGAGGGCAAGTGGTTAAGAACCAACATACTTATACAACACTAATAATAAATAACAGTTGTCTGACATTAGACTGTCCCTTTAAGAATAATAAAAGCTGCCTCATTGACCAAAAGGGAATGTGTGGAAGGAAGGACGGGCATCCTACGACACTATTGGTTAGTAGTGAAGCTTTGCCTGATCAGAACGGTCCAGCCTTCAGGAGAAGCAGAGGACACTGTAAGTAGAAGCAGATATACATCTCTGGGGAGCCTGCATGTCAGTATTCTAAAGTAAAAGTCTCTTTAACAAAGTTTGTTAGATAATCTATCACATGCGATGGCAAAAGAAAGAATTTAAAATTTAAAAAAACAAAAAGTGCTCCCCAGGAATTCTTTTTCTCAGATCTTACATGGCCCCATCAACAGAATGTTGCAGTTTGTAACCTTTCCATCTTTGGAGCTGAATGGAACTGAGAACTTCCACAACTGGTGCACATGCCATGTTCCCCAGCCAAACATACAATTGGCCTCCAGTATTCCGTGTCCTAGGTACACACTAGAATTAAAAGGATATAGAGAAAATTAGCATGACCCTTAAGAAAGGATGACACATTTGTGAAGCATTTCATAATGGACTTCATTCACATTGGAAACAGGTTTGTCAGTTTTTAATACTACACAAATATTCTGAAGAAGATGGCCTCAGGCTGATATTCACTGGCCTGCCTCGCCGCTGGCTATCCCCGCTTCAGTCGATCCTGAATACGGCTGCCAGACTCATTCACCTTTCCAACCGCTCCATCTCCACCACCCCCCTCTGCCAATCCCTCCACTGGCTTCCGATTGCCCAACGGATCAAATTCAAAATCCTAACACTGACGTACAAAGCCGTCCATCATACTGCCCCGAACTACATCACTGACCTAATATCCAAGTACCACCCAACACGCACACTCCGCTCCTCACAAGACCTCCTTCTCTCTAGTTCCCTGGTCTCCTCCTCCCATGCCCACCTCCAGGACTTCTCCAGGGTGTCACCCATCCTCTGGAACTCCCTGCCCCAACCCATCAGATTATCACCTACTCTCCTCTCCTTTAGGCGCACCCTGAAAACCCATCTCTTCAGGGAAGCCTACCCCACCCCCTGCTAACCTGCCGACCTCCTCCACTCTTCCTACCACTCCATCCCCCACAGCTATCTCCTCCTGTGCCACCATCCCCTCCCTCCTAGATTGTAAGCTCGAAAGAGCAGGGCCCTCGATCCCCTCATGTTTTGCATTGTATTGGTATTGTTCTGTCACATGTTCTGTCCCCCTTTGTAATGTACAGCGCTGAGCGAACTATTGGCGCTTTATAAATACTGTATAATAATAATATTCATTGGACACATTTGGAATGGTTGATTCATAAACAGTCACCTGGGAAGTAGAAAGAACTTTTAAGGTTCAGTCATCCAGGTCAGGGGTCCACTGGGTCACATCTGGCCCACTACAAGATTTATCTGGCCCGCAGAAACTGTCCATGACAATACCCAGGCTGGCTGGCAGTGGACT